AGGTTTAGAAAACGTGTCAGTAGTTTTCCTCGTTAGTTTTTACTTGATGCTAAAATATATTTTGAGCTGTAAAGTTTAAAGTGAATTCTTGTATTGTAAACAGTTGATAGAGATGCCATAGGAGGTTTGTGTAACTTGCAGTTCATGGCCAGTAGTTGGCAGTCTACTGCATGATGCATAAGGGGTCTTTCTAATGGACTATGTGCATCTAAAATATTAAACTCCATATTTATACACAAGAAAAGTGACTTTTGAATGTTTGTCCACCACAGTGACAAATATGCATGAAAGGATTAACTGTTTTCATGTTAGATTAAATTGTTAAATCATCTGGCAGCAAAAGATTCTACAAATACTCCAGATAATCTTTGATGTGGAAATGATTTAGTAAGAAAAAAAGATTTTTTATTGTAATGATCAAATGTGCTGCAGCATGAGAAGTGATCAGTTGTGGCATCATCTAATCAATCAGTTTGATTGATGCCTTCATGACGTAATGATGTAACGCTCTGGCTGCTCCTATCATGCAGTATTTTAGGTCTAACAGAAGTTTCAGTTTATTAAGTCACTGGGTCAGAACAAATGTCCCAGTCTGGTCTACATGTTAGATATTAAAATTGTTTGTCCAGATTGTCTCCAAGATAAAAAAAAAACACCTTCAGCTCTTCTTTTTCCAAACTCGTCCTGTTTGCGTGAACATCTGCCTCTCCAGGCTTAAAATGAGTCTGACCAATCAGAGTCTAACATGTTATTAAATGTTTAAAATCCTGTTCATGTTTGAGGCCGTTGAGATGATTTATTTTCTATCTCAGACTTTCTCTGCTTTTGTTGCTGATGTCTGGGTTATGTTGCTGAACCCTCTCTTCTCCTCTTCGTTGTCTGTTGCAGGTTTCCTGAGTACCGGGGACCAAGCAGCTAAGGGGAACTACGGCTTGTTGGATCAGATCCAGGCTCTGCGATGGACCAGTGAGAACATAGCAGCCTTTGGCGGTGACCCGTTACGCATCACTGTGTTTGGCTCGGGCGCCGGAGCGTCATGTGTGAATCTGCTCACTCTGTCTCACTATTCAGAGGGCAACCGCTGGAGCAACTCCACCAAAGGTGAACCTCTGAGAAGTCTACACTCATAGATCTAGGCCGGAGCAGCGGGACTCACAGAGAAGCTCTGGAGATCTTGGAGGCAGAAATTACATCAATCTCAATATAGAAATTCATTCCAGAACCTAGAAGAAAAACATATCTATCTAAACATATGGGAGGGAGGAGTTATACTCATCACACTTAGCCTTGATTTAAGCTACACACAGCATAGATCAGGGATGTCTAGAGTGTGGCTTGTGGGCCATTGGCTGCCCTTTGGCTCATTCTGTAAAGACGTATCAGCAGCAGAGGTTGATGCAGATGGAGGCTTTTGATTTTTAATTAATGAATAATTATTACTACCATTAAAGTGTTCTTACAAAGGAAGATGTTGGAAACAACACAGATTTTTTCTTTTTCTAACAACATTTCTTAACGCTTCGCAAACAGGAGAAAATCTATTCAGTCAAAAACCTCAGACCAGGATCTGCTTTGATTCATTTATTGATCTTCAGTCAATAAGCAATGATTTTTCATAAAAGAGAGTCCAAATATTTAATTATCATCGGAAATAATACATTTTATTCTTTTTTACAGCTTTTCTTTTATCTTTTCCTACTTTTACATAATTATTTAAAGTGTTGCCACGTTGATTTTTCTGCTCCATCCTGAATGAATCATGTGACCCAGGAAGCCTTTTTAAATCAGTCTGAGCTCCACTTAAACACCAGAGCTAACTAAATAAAACACAAAACAGATGTACTGGTTCTCAGATGTGGGATTTAAACCAGAGGGACACGTGATGCCGTGTCTTTACTAGTAAATCCATGACTAACCGTCTGTTGGTCCAAAGTGGTCTAATAACAGATTCCACCAACGGAGAATGTTTACATTTTTTAACAGACATTTTGTGCAAAAACTAAAATCTACGTAATCAATTTGTACTTCATTTTATTTTGAATAAATGCATTTCCCCAGGATTTGAGCAGTTAATTTAGATAATATGGCATTTAATAAACAAGTTTTATGTTCAATATAGAAAAAACCTTCTCTGATAATACAGCATAATTATTTCAGTGTAAAGCCAAACACTCTATTAGCAGATCATCTTACTTTCCTGCTCAAATTAAAAGTAAATACATTTATTTTAACAAGTTTCGCATATTTCTCTATCAGTTTTTTGCAGAACATGGGTACTAATTATTTTGAGGGGTTGTAAACCTGGCAGTTACAGGTCTAGCGCCCCTAGTGGCTCAGTGTTGCTTTATAATTCAGTTCTCTTAAAGAAAAACAAGACAAAAAGAAAATATACTTGTGTTTTCCTTCTTTTTGTTGAGTTGAATGGGAAAAAAAGCACTTTAGGCCTTTTATCATTTTGGCTTTAGTGTGTTGATCAGATCCTGATTGCAAAGACGGTCTACGGTGGTCTCTCACAGTCAGAATCTGCTTTGTGGTCCAGGACTCTGACAAAGAATTTAACTTTGACTTGAAGCTCCCTCTCAGACAAAATATAAAAGTATGACTTTAGGAGAATAAATGAGCACACAATGTAATACCCACTCCTCCATTTTTGTCTCCAGGTCTCTTTCAAAGGGCGATTGCCCAGAGTGGGACAGCGTTATCCAGCTGGGCTGTCAGTTTTCAACCAGCCAAGTACGCCCGGATGCTGGCCCGGAAGGTGGGCTGCAACCTGGAGGACACCGTGGAGCTTGTGGTGTGTCTGCAGAGGAAACATTACAAAGAGCTGGTGGATCAAGATATCCAGCCAGCCCGCTACCACATCGCCTTTGGTCCAGTCATCGATGGAGATGTTATACCTGATGACCCTCAGATACTCATGGAGCAAGGTATCCATTTAGTTTCTACTGAATAATCGGAATTTATCACTAGTGGCTGTCCACACCACAACACTTAAACATAAATCTTTGTAGTAAAATATTCTTTCCCGTCATGATTTGTGAACATTAAGATCTAAAGAGAAGCGCCATCTCCTGGTCAGACCCTGTACTTCAATGAAAGGGGGGAGTCAGAGGAAAAAAATATGCAAGGGGTCACTGTAGTGGCTGGAAGTTGGAGGGAAGGTGGCCACCACTGGGCTGCCGTTTGACTGGGAACGGCCATTTTGAATGGCTGCTGCTGTAAAGCAGCTAAGAAGGACTGGACCACGGTGCTCATGAACCTCTAGAGATCTACCATAGAAAACACTCAATCTAAGTGCATCAGTCTGGGCCTGTAGCTTCATGGGGCAGAGGAGTTTTCCTCTATATGTTCAGTTCAGTTTATTTCTATAGCACCAATTCACAACACAAGTCATCTCAAGGCACTTTACAGTTCAACCAGATCATACAGTCAATATATGTCTAATGACAATAAACAAGATTCTGTTTCTGATCTTTGTCCTTTTCAGGGGAGTTTCTCAACTATGACATAATGCTGGGAGTGAACCAGGGTGAAGGCCTAAAGTTTGTGGAGCTCATCGTTGACAACGACAACGGCGTCCAGGCCAACGACTTCGACTATGCAGTGTCCAGCTTTGTTGATGACCTCTACGGTTACCCAGAGGGTAAAGACATCCTGCGAGAGACCATCAAGTTCATGTACACTGACTGGGCCGACAGACATAACCCAGAAACCCGGCGGAAGACGCTACTCGCCCTTTTTACCGACCATCAGTGGGTGGCACCAGCTGTGGCAACAGCTGATCTACACTCCAGTTTTGGGTCACCGACCTACTTTTATGCCTTCTACCACCACTGTCAGACAGAACAGGTACATCTACCGATAATGTTGTATCTACAGCATCGGTACTACGTTAGAGTTTGTTTTATGTATTATTGTATGAGACATAGCCTGGTGATTTACCAAATGAAATTATCTTTAAATTCCATTTGAACCATTTTATAAGAGAATGATTAAAATAGAGCTCTGGAAAAACAATCTAGAAACAAACAAAAATGTCTTAAATTAAGTGTATTTACCCTTAATTTGAGTAGGTAAATGAGGTAGTTTGCAAATGGAATTAGTATTTATACTCTTAACATAAGATGTTTATATAAAATTCACTTGGAAAAAAGACAATGCATTTGTCTTTTCTTATTTTAAATGTAAATTGTCTTGTTCTATTGGCAAGATGTCTCATTTATCTCCTCAATTCAAGAACAAATGCACTTATTTTAAGAAAACAATGACTTATCTAGATTTAGATTTTTTCCTGTCTGGACGCCTTTTCACACCATTTTTTATCCTTGCAAGGATCCAGAGGAGGAGAATTTCTCTTGTGTGTATGCACGGTCATATAAATGTAGATTTAGCCTGTTAATACAGGTTTAGTGCTAGCAACATTAGCAGTTGACCTCTTCCCATTGGTTTCTAGTCTATTTGACAATAAGTAAATATTTAACCAAGCAGCAGAACTTCCTGGTTGGTGGAATCACACCTTATGGTTTGAATAAAGCCAAACATCGGGGTAAGAAGTCAGGCTGATGTTAGAATCCTTCCATAAAATGACCTAAATCTAAGATGAAGACCAATACTGAGCCTCCTCATAAGCTTTTCTACTATGAAAAACGAGCCAAAAAAAAAAAAAAAACTTCTTTCACTCTTTACATCGTGCTGCAAAGCTTAACTGAGGCCCAACTCTAACATGGTTTAACTTAGAGAAGTTTAATTCCTGGGATAATGACACCTTTGTTTGTTAAAAAGCTGATAAAGGATCGACTGATGCCTTATTTTTGTTTTTCTGCTGCAAGTGGGAAACTGCAGGAGTCTTTCTGTCTTTCTCATGAGTGGAGATTGAATAAAGTGGGAGATGAATAGAGGTGCAATGCCTGAACTAAAGGGAGAGGCTTTGGTTTACTGGTTTACCTCAATGCAGAAACAGCTGAAGCTAAAGCCTGTGGCTGCAGACTCAATAAATTACAGAACAGGGATAGTTTTTCATAGAAAAGTGTTTCAGATGTTCCCTGTTTGGAGAAAGTCTCTGGGATCATTCAGGACTTCCAAACAGATTTTATCTTTATCAGACTTCATGAACTGTGGATCTAAACCTAAGCTAGCTGGTTGGATAAGCCGACATCAAGCATTCAGTTTGCAGATTTCCTTTCAAATATCTACTTTTTCATTAATTGATTTAAACCCATAATTAATAATAGGAGTCATTATGGGTTTAAATTAAGACTCAGACAAACTTTGTCTAATTTCATTTTGTACAGCTCTCATGACTTTTCCATTTCTTAAAGTGCAGCAGAGATTTAATGTAAACATTGGGAGAAAAAAATATTTTTTGCTTATAAATTTTTTAAAATCTGTTCTTTTTTTCTTTTTATTCACTAAAAGCCATTTGAATGTTTAGGTTCTCTGGTTTTCAAATATATCTGCATCATGAAATCTCCTGATTAAACTCAAATTTTACAATTCACAAAATTCACACTTAATTGTTGTAATAAACTTGTAATAAGTAAATATAAATAATGACATAATGTAATAAAACTTGTGATAATTAATTTAAGCCAGAACATTGATATAATATTTAATTTCCACATTAAAAATAGTTCAAAATATAAATAACCAATTAATCACACAGCTACTGCAATTTAATGGCGTCCTATTTGTTTGTATCTCTCACCATCCAGCTGTTTTGCAAAAAAATAAAAAATGTTTTCATTCTTGCTTCCATTCATCTAAAACGCTTTTATCACGGTTTTTAGTCTGACTTGTGTGATTTTCCCCAACGCTGCTCTGAGAAGCATTATCTACAAATGTTGTGCATCTGTTTTCTAGATATAACATCAGTGTGATTTGATTGATCTGCTGCTCGTTAGGTTCCACCGTGGGCGGACGCAGCGCATGGAGATGAGATACCGTATGTGTTCGGGCTGCCCATGATCGGCCCCACGGAGCTGTTTCCATGCAACTTCTCCAAGAATGACGTAATGCTGAGCGCCGTTGTCATGACCTACTGGACAAATTTCGCCAAGACTGGGTATGAATGCATCAGACATGTTGCTAATAGAGCGTTTTATATAGATTATATCAGACTGAGCTGAAAATTAGAAATTCTGTGGCTTATTTCAGCAGGATGATCAAACATTGCTATGGTGCAAATAATGTCATGAAAAGTACTGAAATTTGCTCAAAAATCACTAATTGTTGTATTTAATGTTGGAAAGATAAAGACGGTATGTGATAATATTAGTGGTTTTACCTGCTTAAAGGGTTAAAAAGGCAGAATGATCAGAAATTGGGTTTAAAACTCTGCAGAAAGCATCAGAGAGAAAAAAAAAGCTGTGCAGGCGTGAGAAAAACAGCCTGAAACATCAATAACTATTAAAATAACTCGTTCGTTGCCAACAGAGGGGTGAATTTTAGGATAATCCAAAATGTTTTAAATTTCTTCTGTTCAGGATTAAATAGTTCTTCATTCCAACGGCCTGAAAAATGTTTATTATTAAATCATAAGACGGTCCTTCTGCTCTTATTTGCAAAAAGCATTTCAGTATAACTTTTCCTTTATGTGTTTAATAGTTTAATATTAATAATTCTCCACAAAGAATGCAATAATAAAAATAAAGGCAATTAGAAAATGGATTAAACTTAAATATGTGAATTTAATGTAATTTCAACCCAATGTATTACATCACAGCAAAAACAAATGTTAGAAAATATAACTACAATTTATCATAAGCATTTACAAAAAGAAATAGTTGAATTAAATGTTAAAACCAAACTGAGAACTAAAATATATGATAAATTGGAAGTTCTTTCATCATCTGCTGCTTTCTTCTTTTAAATTAATACTTGATTATAAAATGGAAAATATTGTTTGACTTTAAAGCCTTGGCTTAGATTTAAGTATTTGGAATCTAATAAAGATCAGATTATTTAAGCCCAGATGCATAAAACTCGCCACCAACTGGTTCTAGTTAATTTAATGCAGTTTATTTATATAATGACGTCGACTGATGAAAATAGAAAAATGGAAGATTAGGACGATAAACCAAACCTGATCTAATCAAACAGCGTTTTAGATTTTTTAAATTACAAGACAAAATCTTTCAAATGATAAATTATAATTTAGGGATTGTTTTTTTTTATCCTTCCTTTATGATTGTCCTACGGTTTACTTCCCACTGGTTCCTGTACCTTTAATTTAGACTTTTCTTTTAAAGCCTAATGACTGGAAGAGAAAGCATCAAACCAAGAATGTTCGAAGCTTCCAGACATTTAGTTCAGGGTTTTGTCCAAGGATAATTGGAACAACACACAATTACCATTATAAGCCCATGAACAAGTCAATTATTTCATTGTAATTGTGTTTCCTCAATACTCGGCTCCATTTGATGAGTGAGAGGGTTGTGAATTGTACTGCTGGGTTTATGGGCCGCATTCTTTATACACACCCTCCACATCGCTTTCAAATCGCCATTAATTAATAGCCATGCATTGCAAAGGAACATTCTTTATGGCATAAAATAAAATTAAAATTCCCTTTTCCTGCCTCTGTCTCCTGTTGCCTTCCAGCCAAGGCAGTAATTGTTTTTCCGAGCACATAATGGGGGACATTGGCTTTTTCTGAGTCCTGCCCAGTAACCCTGAAGGGAACAGAGAGGCGCTAATGATCTACATATATAACCTGAAATTGACATGGAATGCTGGCTACCTGGGAGATTTATACCACCCATTTGAATGGTTAACCATGTTGCTGATGAGCTTGGGCCAGCTCCCTCTGCCTCTCTCAGACAATGGGACGCTCAGTGAGGCTGAATGGGCCCCTCAGCTGCTGCTGTTCATCTCAGATTTGGACTTTCTTTAACGTTTATGTTCAACTTTCCTATGGAAGCAGAATTCCCGCTGACTGTGAACCCTTCGCTTTCAGTCCACAGGCTAACATCCGATGGAAACAGAGCTTAACATTTTTAATTACAGTGAAAGTTAATGAAATAATCTGCATCCAATGGAAACATGCAGACATTTACATATAAATTAACTCACACTATGACGCACAATGATGTAACTTCTGACATGTAGATGTTTTTATCATTTAAATTAAGACTAAATGGGATCATATCCACCTGAAAACCTTTGATTCTATCAAAATCTGTCAAAATGTTTCCCTAGATTCCTTCTTTCTGACCTTTTTTGGGAGAGCATCATGTATGATTTCTAAAAACTTGGTGATTCACATCGTATGAAACCGGTGGGCTGTTCCATTACAACATCTGCTTAATTAAACCCGTTAGCGTGAGGCTAACGGCTCAGGATGGTATTTTATTTCTTTTTTATAATCAACTCTGGTCTCTTGGTGTACATTTAAACTTCTCCTGCATCAGTTCTTTACCATACCAGGGGTCTCCAACCTGTGGCTCCAGAGGCGCATGTAGCAGCTCGTCGTGTCTTTGTCTAAAAACAATAATATTCTGAGAAAAGTTTTTGATTTACAACAAAAAAATTTATTATTTTGGATAGAGGTTTCGAAAACAAACTAAATTGTTTAATTGCCTTACTGGTTTGACATTTCTTGGTTCTAGTTTTCTTCAATTTAACCATAAATTCTAAACCATTTATCCAGCTGATGCTCATAAAGGCTCACCAGGGTTTTATTCTTCTAATCTGATTTTATTAATCAATTATAGGAATTAAAATGGCTCTTTTCATTGTAAAGCTGAGTGACCAATGGGTCATATAGGTGCTTTAAAAAAGTATTTACCCACTTTAAATTAAAAAATACCCTTAGTAAGATGCTCTTTAATTTTGTTTGTAAAAGTACAAAACTTTAAATGTTGACAGTGAAAGCTGAACCACAGTGAGATTAAAAAGGCTTCCCCCCTTATTTTCTTTTTATGAGCCATTTAGATGCAGACTTGCTTAGCGTGCTTTGGATTATCATCCCATTTTAAAGCTCCTGTGTGCTTCAGCACCTGCTGTGCAGGATTCCTTAATTGTGTCGCTTGGTTAGCTGGTTTGGCCTACTTCGTGTTGTCCCACAGATTCATTTTCCTGCCTCTATGTGGGCCTGGGTCCAGCTGTGAAAACAGAGCTAGAATTTACAGTTTCACCTCAGTTGAATGGAGCAAGGAGGGCGATTCCTTTAACACCTTATTTTCCTAAAATAGCTTTTTATTTCTTCCACGTATCTTTGTTTAATCTTAAATGTTGAAACATGAAAAAAAAATAAAATAAATCAAACACAGAATTAACCAATAATGGGAGAAAACTTCACAAAGCTTAATACTGTATAACAATGATCGAGTTTTCTTTAGTTTTATTGTTTAATTGCTTCTTTGTTTTAGGGACCCAAACCAACCTGTACCCCAAGACACCAAGTTCATCCACACTAAGCCCAACCGCTTTGAAGAGGTGGCATGGACTCGTTACAACCAGAAAGACCAGCTTTACCTGCACATCGGCCTGAAGCCTCGGGTCAAAGAGCACTATCGGGCAAACAAGGTACGCCATGGCCGAGCTCTATCTTTAAAAACTCTATTTTTTATATTTTTATATGTTCAAAAAGTCACCTATCACTGAACTTCTCAAAACGAGTTAAATTTAGGCTTCACACGATGTTGGTGACAGGATAATGTTACACAAGATAGAAAAGCTCTTCACTATTACAATCAAAGACCATCAACAGAAATTCATGAAAATTAAATAAGTCTTTGCTTTTATTTTTATTTTTAATGTCTTCTAAAATCTTTATTTCAGACCAGTTGCGGTATTTAATGGACAATTGTAAAGATGCTGGAGTGCAAACCTCGCAGTGCCGTTAGGAGTTTCCTGTTATAGTCTAAAAAAAAAAAAAAAAATATATATATATATATATATATATGGCACCAGATGTTTTTGGTTTCCAGCCTATTTTCTTGCCTACATCGACACTAAATTAAATTCAGTCCTATTTAAAAATACTTGCTTTTATCCCAAAGTAAATTAAATGTACTTTGGGATAAAAGTACATTTTTATCCTCGACGGAGGAGCGGTAGAAGGTCAGCAGCAGATGAAGTAATTCATGAGAAGTTTTTAAACGAGTATTATGTGTTAATAGCTGTAGGCAGGAAGGATCCTCTGTAGAGGCTTGTCTTTCATGGGCTCGGGAGAAGCCTCTGACTGAAGACAATTTGATGTTTAGTAATCGGATGAAGATGTTGCACAATCGCTTCATTTTATGAAGACTTCTTTATGAAATCATCTCCAGAGGTTCTAGAGGAGTTCCTAGAACAGCCAGCGTCCTTTATTCCCTTCTTGAGCTTCTTTCAGTCATCTGCTCTGATGGTGTTACCACAGCAGATGATGGCAGAAGATAGAAGATAGGGATAAATTTGCCCTTAATTTGAGAAGGTAAATAAAATGTTCTGCTCTTGACTTGCCAGCAGTGTTTTTTGGGGTGGGACATGTAGGCACGGTGACAGTCGGAAGGACCTTACCGGGGCATAACAAACATGGCTGTGCAGGAGGACTCACCTGTCGATACTACGATTGACTTGGTTTTATTCAGAATAGCAAAAATTTCTTGTTTGAAAAAGGAGCAAAGAGAAGCACTTTGTGCATTTGTAGATGGGAAAGATGTCTGTGCATTAATCAGCTTACTCTGCTAGTTTTGAAAACACTCTAGAAGCTGCTGACGAGTCCTGTTGTGATCATCGTGTCTCCTTTGGCTCTCATGGACGACCAAGTTGCCAAAGCTATTAAACTGGATATCTCTGCTAGGAAGCTGGATGACAATGATTCGCTGCTACGATTGGCCAAAAGTGTATTATAGACGGCGGGTACTAGCTGGCACGTCACCCAATCAGCTCTAAGTATTCTGCTAAACATCCCTGCTTTTCACAGACAGACTGAACGGCAGCCATCCCAGAGTGATAACGTACAATAGTAGACATTCAAGATTTCCCAACTTTCCTTGGTTGGTCTTCGGTTGGTCCTTGGTTGGTCTTTGGCTGGTCCTTGGTTGGTCCTTGGTGGTCCTTGGTTGGTCCTTGGTGGCCCTTGGCTGGTTGTTGGTGGCCCTTGGCTGGTTGTTGGCTGGACCATGGCTGGTCCTTGGTGGCCCTTGGCTGGTCCTTGGTGGCCCTTGGCTGGTTGTTGGCTGGACCATGGCTGGTCCTTGGTGGCCCTTGCCTGATCCTTGGCTGGTCCTTGGTTGGTCCTTGGTTGGTCCTTGTCTGGTCCCCTACAATTCCTTGTTAAACATCAATCTTTGTAATAAAATATTCTCTCTGTCATGATTTGTGGACATTAAGATCTAAAGAGAAGCGCCATCTCCTGGTCAGACGCTGTAATTCAGTGAAGGGTAGAGTAAAGACAATGCACGCCCACGAGAAAACCAGTGGCTGGAAGTTGGAGGGGATTTGGCTGGAAGTCACAGGGGAGTATGCTGCCATTCAGCTGCTGTTTGACTGAGAAGGGTCGTTTTAATGGTTGCTACTTTATAACTCTACTCAGTTCTACACACATCAATCTGGCTACTGCCAAGTATTTTTGCCCTTATAACAAAATAATTAGATATTATACATTTTTTTCTAATTCTAATAGGAAATTGTCTTAATCACCTAATAAAATTAAAGGAGATTGCAATTGTTTTAAGAAAAATAAACTATATATCATATTTTTGCATTGCGTGCATCTTTTCTCAATCAGGACCCATCATCTATACTCTGCTAATTTATTTATTACTTTACTAATTAAATAAACTTGCGATGAAAAAGAAACTTCCACAAACCTCATTCTTAAATCATTTGCTAGGATGGGTTATCATGAGACCTGAACCACCTGTTTTACCACAATGTTACCAATAAATATGGTAAAAAACAACAACAACATAAAAATCTTCAATGCATCAATTTAATATAAATCTGCCTCGTTAAATAAAAAAAAAAGTTTTTCCTCTTTTCTAAGTTGAAGCTGGAAAGTTCCTCAGAAAAAGGGACGTCCTAATTTTTTAAATTAATTTAGAACAAAATTTCTACTTATTTTAAGCATCTTTTACTCATTTTAATATCAATCTTTTCAGGTTAAATTAGAGAAAACTTGATGTTTTTTTATTTTTATTAGATCTCCCAAAATAATGTTATTTTCTGTAAATTTCCATCATTATCTTCAGTCCTTCTACATCAGGCTGAAGGCCTGTAGCTCAACAACTGTCCCAAATGAAAAGCTTGATAATAACAACCCATAAAGTAAAGTGCATCTATAGTTTTATTGGATAATTGTTGCATAACTGAGTAGAGGTTGTTATAGACTTGTAGAGGTGGTTCACCCATGCAGAATACATGATAGATCTGTAGAGATATGCAGTAGAATTAACATTTTATTCCTGGCAGCCTGACTTACAGTAGCTAATGATCAAATGATGCAGAATGTCAGTCGGAGAGCATGAGGCACAGTTCTATGGTTGCATCATGACTTTCTGCAGAGGTGTGACAGGATGTTAATTCTGGCAGCACAGCCTTTCGTGAATTTACTGTCAGACGGATATTTTTCACATTTTCACATGTTATTTGTTAAAAAGGTTTTTAAATGAGACCCTGAATCTAAAATAAAAAATAAACCTTTAGTTCTACTGTAGCAGCCATTCAAAATGACCATTCCCAGACTAAAGCCACCTGACTGATAGCACACTTCCAGCCCCTGCAGTGACCCCCTCTTGCATATATATATATATATATATATATATATATATTTCATGTTGCACGATTGTACCATAAAAAATTCCTAGTTTGTGAA